AGTCAAAACAGCACTTAAAGAAAAATTTATAGTCTTAAGTTCATGTATTCGGGGGAAGAAGGGATGAACCTTAATATGGTGGTAAGCACTCACTTAAGAAAAGTTGAAAAAGGAAATAATTATAGCAGAAATTAATGCAATATAAGTAAACCTATAAAAGAGAGGTCCAAAGTTGTTTTTTTTTTTGGGGGGGGGCTTTTTTGAGCAAAATAGTCTCCACCAAGATTGAATACAAAAAAGAAAGTCACTAATAACTAATATTAGGAATGGAAATGTAGATATAACTAAAAATACTGCAGATATTCAAAAGATAATGAGTATTATAACTTTATGACAATATATTTGAAAACTTAGTTGCAATAGTCAAATTCCTAGAAAAATAGATCTCACCAAAACAGACTCAAGAAAGACAGCTCATTTAAAAAACAAATAAATCAACAGCCTTTTTTTTTGACAAACATCAAATGGTTCTACCAGCAAGTTTTGCCAAGTATTCAAGAGACAATTTCAGTCTTAAATTCTTCCAGAGAATAGAAAAAGGGAGAGTGCACTTCATCTTATTTTATAGAGCTAGAATAAATATTGATGCCAACATTTGAAAAGAATAGTATGAGAAAGGGAAAATTGCAAGCCAGTGTCTCTCATGAACAGCAATGGAAAAATCCTAAACAAAATATTTGCCAACCAAATCCAAATATAAGAAAGACTGTGCGTCATAATTAAGTTGAGTTTATCGTAGGAATGCATCCTCTATGGTATCCTGCAGGGAAGCAGAATATATGGCCACAGACACAGGGGGGTGGAAGATTTGGGGTTGAGAATCTGTGGAATTTCTCAATTGCTTCAATTTTTTTTTCCAGTGATTAGAAGTTGGGTGAAAGTGCAGGTAGAGAAGCAGTCTGGGAGATTTGAGAAAAGAGAATGTATGAAATAGTTTTCTAGGAGAGTGGGAGAATATCATCTGAGGCTTATGGTCATCGATTTAAAGATGATTTACTAGAGCACCCAGCTTAAAAAAAAAAAACACTTAAGGAGAACTAACCTGCTCCCTTGTCAATAGGCATTTCTGGGGCTAAGTGGCCTTTAAGATTTTCAGTTGTCATGTATGATCCTGGGAAAGCCTAGCCCCCTTAAGCACATTGGTTATGATTCTCACGCAGTCCACTAGGATTAGGGCCATAGGAGGCTTAAACTCTGCCCTTCTCCAGGTCAAGTTTCCTAATGCAGTCCTCAAAATCTCCCCATCATCCTCTCCTCTCAAATCCTCTCCATCACTCCTCACAAGTTCAACCTCCCAGGCCTGGTGTGTGCCAGAGGTCCCAAACTTCCCACACAATCACTGCCTTCTTCCTTAGAAAAAGGAATCATAATTTGATTCTGCTGAATAGTTACTTTTTGCAGCAGACTGGTATGTCTGTGTGATCCAGTTCCAGCTAGGGAGTTGTATAATCAGGGTATTTGCTGGCTTCCAAGAAAGGAGCACTGGCAACAGGAATTCACCTTTTGCCCTTCTTCCTTCTTTTTTCCTTCGCAAATGTGAGCACGATGATTAGAGCTCCTGCAGTCAAAGAGTAACCTCTAGGATGGAAGCTTCATGCTAAGGAGACAGAGAGACAAGACAGCTGGGCCCCTGATGACACAGGAATTGTCATGCTGCCCTACACTACCTAGCTTTCACATAAGGCACTGTGATTAAAGTTTTCTGCTGTATGTAGCTGAATCTAATTCAATATACTGTCTCATCGTTTTAGTATAAAGAGCCATATTTCAAGTAAGCTGAAGGGACAGTGGGAGAGGGAGGAACAGCCTTGGGACCACCCAGGCCCCTTTCTCTCAAAAGCAATGTCTGTTTCCTCCCACCATAAGGCAGGATCAAAAAAGAAACCAAGGAAAAGAGAGCACCAGAGACAGAGATTTCTCTAGGATCTGGACAGTTGTTTTCATAAATATTAATCTCCACAACCACCCCAAAGGGAGGCACTATTGTCCCTGCCTCACAGGAAGAGGCTCTGGCAGGACAAGTAGCTGGTACAGAATCAGATGTAAAGGCAGTGAGCCAGAGCTGAGTCCAGCGTAAGTCCTTCACATGCCAGACCTGGTCTCTGTGCCTCAGAACAAGAGGTGGTGGTCATCCTCTCACCTCTGCTCCAAGTATAAACTCTCTGTGATTGTCACCCAGAAAGTAAATGGGACGATAGATGGAGATTCAAGGGCCCCACTGAAGGCAAACCACTGATCTCTACAGAAATCCTGTCAGGAAGCCTGATATCCAGCATTTGTTAAAGAGTATTAAGAAAGAGGGTAAATGAGGAAAATTATGGTGAAGGTAAATATTTGATATGGTTATGAGACAATGTACAGGGGGTATATAAATGTTCAACTCAGATAAGGCTAAATAAATATTTCTGTAACTTTATGGATGTTATTGATAAATCAATGTTTTATTCATTCATTCATACATTCATTTTGCAAGAAAGAAACCTGGTAGGTATAGAGATGAGGAGGAATGTGGAAGTGTGAATGTTTCTATTACTATCTGCTTTCTGGTTTTCTAAAATGAACAGGTATTGCTTTTGTAATAAGAAAAAAGGAAATTATATCTTTCATTTTAAAAGGGCATTGTATCTGACATTAAACACAGACTCCTCCAGCCCAGCCAGGGCCCCAGCCTCAGCCCCTGCTCCCACCCGTGGTCCTTACTCTGCCCTGGTGCCCAGGTCCCACTCCTAGCCCTGGCCTCTCAGCCCTGGCAGGATTCTGAACATACTCGGGTGGGTCAGCTCAGGGAGAGCACAAAGACTCATTTGTCCACACTGAATGTGATCCACCTCACAAATGAGATTCCACTAAGATGACCCAGTAAAGGGAGAAAACTAAAAAAGAAATAAGAGATCCAAAGTGGAGTCACTTGTGTTAAACCTGTCACTAAACAGGGCCTAATTCCTAACTGATTGCAGTTTCGATCTTCCCCAGGAATGTAGTTTTAACTAGTTTGGAATTTCCTGGTCAGCACTGATGAAGGAATCCACCAAAGGGAGGTGACCTTGCCCAAAATAACAGTTTTTGTCTGACTACCTTGTCCTGCCTTTCTTAGCCCTTTAAAGCTTGCCTCTACTTGCTAGATGGGATTCTACCCAATCATGAATTGTTCAATAAGGCCAATTAGATCTTTAAAATTTACTTGATTAAATATTTGCTATTTACCAATGGCAAAGGCCAAGAGAGTGGTGGAAGGAAGATTCATGGTGGGAATGCAGAATCACTGTTCTCAGGAACCAGGGGCAGGAGGACGGCAGTAAGTGGAGGAAGGGCTGTGGATTACAGGCAAAGGCAGAAGTGCAAAGGCCAAGCCAGGGTATTGGCCTGGCTGAGAGCTGCTGGGCCAAGTCTTTTGTAGGCAGCTGAGACCCTGCATACCATTGAGAACTTCCACCTGCAGGAACTTGCAGCCTGCACCAGCCATGCTAGTTGGTCACCAACTATTTCAGTGAGGGCCCACCTGGCAGGGGTGCTGAAGTGAGCTAGGTGAACTCTTTGGAATTACCTTTATATCTCTGAACTGAAGGTTAATCCTGAAATATTTAATGCATGGTACTTTTGCATTTGGTATTTCTACATGTTTTGCATCTGCAGGAGGATCATGGTTCTGAATGGATGGCAGCCATGTATGTATGAATCACCCCTGAAAATGATTCAACAGGGTAAATGTGACCTGAGGACATACATCAAAAGGAAAAGAAACAGGACACAGAGACATGTAAAGTTCTCCTTGCTTCAGGAGAAACCTGAGGAATCTTCTAAGAGTGGCATTTCCTCTGAAATCTCTCCTGGAGGGCTCCCCCTGCCAGGCCACCATCTCAGGCAAACCAGGAAGTCCGGTCCCATCCACTACCCTGGGGCTTGAAGGTCAGGAGACCAAAGTACCAAAGGGAGGCTGAGGAGGCATCCTGAAGGAGGGTAGTAAAGGATAGAAAGGGAATAGTCCAGTGTTAGGTGGTAGTTAAAAGCATGGGCCCCATTCAGATCCACCACTCCACCCAACCATATGTGTGACCTTGGGCAAAGAAACCTCTATGTGCCCATTTCCTCATCTCTGAAATAGGAGTTTTTATCACCAATTGCTTTGAGGATTAAATGAGTTAATGTTAACTATGGAGCACACAGGACAATGCACTTGGTGAGCAATTGTTTGGTACATTTAGTGCTAAGAACATGGAATTTGGCAGCCAAAGTGCTCCTGGTGCCGGTGTGTCGGGCCAGATTCAGTGCCTCACTGGGCCTGTCATTATCCACAAATCATGGATAATGACCATCTCCCTACCCCAAAACAGGGTTAAATTAATCCACCTAGGAGCACATGGGAAGACAAAACTAGCTCTACAGAAATCTAAAAGGTTAAAATTAATGTCTGAACACGGTTCCCTCAGCACACTCAGCATTCTTAAGCCCAGGAAAAGGGAAGCCAGAGCTACTCCCTTTCTGACCCGGTGACCTCACTCCCTCCGCAGTTCATACATGTTAATCTCCAGAATGGTATCTGTGAACAAAGTCACCTACCCAGAGTTTTCAAATCCACTAATAAAACATAAAAAAAAAAAAAAAAAAAAAAAAAAGAGAGAGAGAGAACCGAAACTCTCAGAATGTGTTTTACATGATCTAAGTTTCAGTAAGTTTGCCAGCTCCATGTGCGTATTCTAGGCGGCAGCACAAAAGGCATCCTCACTGGGATCATGGTCAGGTCTCTGAGTGTCACTGACAGAGCTTACCCTAGCATCAGCTCTGCATCCGGGAGCTCAGGAAGCACCCCAGGAGGCCCAGGAAATGCAGTCTGTGCCACTGGGGAGCACCCAGCACATAGACCTGCTTTGTCAAGGACTGCCTGGGTTCTCTCAGACCAGGCCTTCAGGCTTACAGCAAGCTCAAATCCACTAAGGGTTCACAGCCCAACTCCAGGGATTAGCAGCAGGTGACTATAGCCTGGGACCCCCTCCACCTCAAAGCCTGGCCTTTCTTTCACACTCAACCCCTCCCAGCTCCCATCTTCTGGTCATCTGCTTTCTTCCTTTAGCTGATCCACTTCCTCCTGCCATCCAGGCCTTTCCTTCAGTCCTTGTTCTTCCTTCTTTTTCCTTCTTCTTGACTCTTCACCAACTTCTCTACTCCTCCTCCTGTCCCAGGACATATAAATACACACACATACAAACAGTTTTTCAGACAATTCAGCCTTTATTTTTGAAAATAATTCTGTAGCTTCAACTTTCTTCCAGGAATTGAGGTCAGGCCAGAAGCAAAAACACACAAATTGCTCTCCAATCTGCCATCCTCATCCTAATCTGAGCAAACAAGGGAATGCCCAGGATCTGCTAGAAGAGGAAGGCAGGAGCCATCCTGTCTTGGCTGCTCTACCTTACCCTGAGAGGGCCACCAGAAGCCTCAACCTTCATGGAGGAGCCTGTGCACCAAACACCAGGGACAAGGGGACACAAGGAGCTAATAATCTCTCTTCCAAAAAGCCAGCATGAAACCTCCTACAGTAATGGAGAAGGGATCCATTTTTAGAAAGGCCAGGATCCAGGAACAGAGTCTGTTTCTTTGAGGCAGGATGAGGGAGGCATGTCCTATTACACAAAGGCTTTCCCCTACCACCTTTCCCTCCATTCCTCAGATAAGCTGAGGAGAGGTCTTGTTTCTCTCTTCAACTTTTCATTTTAGAATCACAAACTGCTAAGCTGCAAGGAAAGAAAGGAGGTCAGGGATAAGGAGACAGGTAAAGAGAAATAAGGGTGGGTGGCAATAAACCCTGAATGCCTAACAGCTCCGCCCAGACTCTGATGAAACCCCTTTGGTTAGTCTCATTTTGGCCATAGGTAAGTCCCCTTTTCAAATAAGCCAACAACCCCTCAAACTGGGGGAAGGTGGGAATGGGGAGCAAATATAAGGGGATGAGCTCATACCCTGGTTGGAAGAGCAAGGACAAGGAAAAAGAGAGCTGGTCAAGAGAGCTAATGCTGCCAACCTCTCTACACATGCTCTAGGAGAAAACCTGGAACATGGAAGTCTGTGGCTCCCACATGCCCAAGTCTCTCCCTACCACACAGTGGTTTCTTGCTTAATACCACCCAACGTACCCCAGAAAGTTTCCCCTGACTTGACCCCCTTAAGAACAGGAGATTAACCCTCACCCTATCCTCTGTGCTCTTGAATGCCACTCGAAAAAACAAAACAAAAGATAAAGATAAATGTACCCAAGAGAGACACAAAGAGGACGATGCAGCCCATCTCAGCCCATGATATGACAAGGAAGGTGCCCAGGAGGGACAGGCAGGCGCTGCTAATTCCAGCTAGGATCATAGCCATCCCACGTCTGTGGGGGGGCCAGGTGGACACGGCGACCCCGGAACAGGAAGCTGACAATGCCCCGGTAGCCGGCCCTGGGGACACCGGACTTGAGGTCGTCCATGACTCCCAGAGCTTTGGCAAAGGCCTTGAAGCTGTCCCTGCCCGTGTACTGGACCCGCACCTCCCCCAGCTCGCTGCGCTCACTGGTCCTCACTTTTTCCACCTGCAGCAGGGGAGCCCCATAGACGCGGGCAAGGAAATCTCGGTCATAGGTCTCCTGCCGTAAGTATGACAGATCCAGCTGGGTGAAGGGCACAAAGTGCTGGTTCAGCTTAATGAATTTGAGGTGCTGGTCAAAGAACTGCCCATGGCTCACACCCTTGCGGCCAAAGGTCATCGTTCTGGAGATCTCAGGCCGCACACAGGCCCTGCCCTGCCGCTGCTCAGGCCTACGCATCCAGTCGTCCCAAAAGGCCCTGGGCCACTTGGGCTCCAGTTCGGCCCAGAGCTCAGCCAGCAGCAGCCAGCCCAGGCCAGGGAAGAAGTCGGTGCGGTACAGCAGCTCTGGCTTGCTGGAGTCCACCATCTGCTCCTTGCCGTTGTCATTCCAGGCAGACACACACCACAGGGAGGGGTCGGCCCTCAGCAGCGGGTACGTGGCCTGAAAGTACTCAAAGAAGTCTGGAGCCACCTCCAGGTCATCCTCCACCACCACCGCTGCTGGGAACTTAAACTTGTGGAAGACCTGGCCCAGTGCCCAGCGGTAGTGCCGCGCAATCTTGTAGTAGCCCTGGAACTTGCGGTGGTCTGGGGGCACCGTGATACTACTCAGGTCTGGCTGCCGGATGTGCGTGATGGCACTGCCGTAGGAGGCGATGACCTGGGCCGTTTCCTCATGCCCGCAGTCCTGGCTGACAATTATGGGGAAGTGTTCGGCTGAGGGCCGGTAATGCAGCAGCTTGTCCAGGCAGCGCCGGACAGTGCTGCGGTCACAGGCGATGACCAGGATGGGGATCACAGCTGGTGGGGAGGACACAGGCACACGCGGTGGGGCAGGTGGAGCAGCAGTGGGCACCCTCCACCGCTGGCTCCACCGAGCATGATGCTCCCTGATCTGCTGCAACAGCCCTCTCTGGCGCTCCAACTCCACCTCTGCATCCTCGGCTAGACGGATCACCTCCCGGGTGAGGCTGGCGGGGTCATCATCAAGAGCGCTGTCTGAGGGCAGCCTGCTGGGTGATGGGCGCGTCCAGAAGAAAAGGAGCAGCAGGGCATTCCAGGCCACAAAGAGGATGGCGCCCCACAGCACAAGCCCAGCAGATTGCTTCTTCAGCATCCTGGCCCCCACAGGGGAGGGCAGCAAGGGTGGGGCTCAAGGCTGCCCTTTGCTTGCCTAGTTTACTTCCACAGCCCTAGGGATGCTTTCTCTGGCCTCTGGAAACAGGAAGCAGCCATGCACCTGAGGAGAAGACAAACAAAACCAACCTTCATCACAAAGGCATGCAGCTGTCCTGGGGTGGAGGAATGGGGCCTGAAGGGGCATCCAAGAATAGGAGAAACAGTAGGGGAAGTGGGAGGCCAAGAGGTCGACTCCAGAGCTCTCTTAGAAATGAGCTGCCCATCTCTTAATCTGGGATAAAGAGGATAGGACAACACACTTCCCCCACTCCAAAATGAGTCCATGAGCCTCAGAAAAGCAATATGGTTTGAGTGAGAAATAGAGCGTGATGTTGTTAAGGAGGAAGCAACAGAACCCTACTTTTCCTCCCATACGTGAAAGACTTCAGTTCCAACTTCTCTGCAGAGTTTTAGGGGCAAGGATGGAGGCGAGACATTCTGCCTCCCATTCCTCAAATCAAATTGCTCACAGATTACTGATTTTAAAACCCTAATATTAGGGGTGCCTGGGAAGCTCAGTCAGTTAAGCATAGGACTCTTGGTACCAGCTCAGGTCTTGATCTCGGGGTGGTGAGATCCAGCGCCAGAGGGGCTCCAGGCTCAGCAGGGAGCCTGCTCCAGTTTCTCTCCCTCTGCCCTTGCCCCTGGCTCACAGGCCCACGCTTTCGCTCTCTCAAATAAATAAATAAAATCTTTAAAAAAATAAAAATAAAAACTCTTAATATCACACCTCTAGGCTAAAGTCAGACCTTATCTAATAAGGAAGCACTAGCGGCATTCCCACAAAAGTCAGGGGCAAAGCCAAGCTGCCCACCATCTATATGACAATTTAACATTCTCTTGGAGGGATCAGCCAATGTGAATGGACTACAGAAGTGGAAAAGGAAGCATGACTATCTATTTGTTGATACTGTAAGAATATGCCTGGGAAACTGATAGAATCAATGATAAACCCAAACAACTGAAGAATTGAGCATAGTAGCAGGATATAAACTAACAGGCACAAATCAGTAGCCTTCCTATACACAAAAAATAACTCATTAGAAGTCACAATGCTTGAGAAAACCCTATTTACAACAGCCATAAAAATTACAAACTATATAAGAATAAACTTAACAAGGAATATTCAAAACCTACATGAGCAAGGTTTTGCTCATTAGCCCTACCAGCCATTAAAATACTACACATTACAAAGCTTCTATAATTAAAACGATGTGATGCTAGTAGGTAAATAAATAGATCATCCAAAGGAATACAATTTAAACTACAAAAACAGACCCAAATATGTGTACAAACCCAATAGAAGATACAGGTGATATTTAAAATTACTAAGGCAAAAAAAAAAAAAAAAAGGTCTATTAGTTGTTATGACTACTATACAGATATTATACAGATATTTGGAAAAACAAAATTATATAACTGTACAGAAGAATAACTCCCGAGTGGATTAGAGTTCTAAATATAAAAAATCTAACTATACAAGTGCTAGAAGAAAATACACAATTCCTCTATAACCTGCATACAAAAAAAAGGCTAAGTTTGATTCAAAATCTAGATGCAGTAATAAGTAAAACACTTGCATGATATAAACACATTAGCCAAGTTGAAAGACAAACTGGGAGAGAATATTTGCAATATATATCACAAATAAAAAGCCAATAGTCTGACAAAAAACTTTTAAACTGAGGGGGTAAAAAGCCAAAACTCCTTGTCTTTAGTTAGACAAGGGCAATTCACAAAAAGATACTGAATTGGTCCTTAGATACATGAAAAGATACTTAATTTCACTTAAAGTAAGAAAAATGCAAATTAAACTATATTAAGATAAAATTTCTTACTCATCAGATGCAAAAATTCAAACAGTTGTCCTTCTTTTAAAAGTTTCAAGTGGAAAACAAGTTCTGATCATCCAAAGATGATCACCACATATTCATCTCACATGCTCTTCTTAACAAAGATGTAAGGCCATTCCTCTCAGTAGAGGTGAGGGATGTGGGGTCCCTGTTCCCTCTCTTTGATCTGTGACTATCAAGGAAGTGATCATGCAAGATTTGCAAAACTAGTCCACGAAAGGCCATACCCGGGCACCTGGGTGGCTCAGTGGTTGAGCGTCTGCCTTTGGTTGGGCTCAGTGGTTGAGCGTCATGATCCTAGGGTCCTGGGATGGAGTTCCACATTGGGCTCCCTGCAGGGAGCCTGCTTCTCATTCGGCCTGTCTCTGCCTCTCTCTGGGTCTCTCATGAATAAATAAATAAAATCTTTAAAAAAGAAAATAAAAGAAAGAAAGGCGATACAGTTTCCACCTGTTGCTGCTGAGATGCATGCTCTTTGAATATGGCCACAAAGGTTAGAGGAAACCCAAGCCACACGGATAGAACACCTACAGGTATTCCAGCTCACAATCCAAGTTAAGGTTCTAGCCAACAGCAAGCATCAACCACTAGACATGGGAGGAAGCCTTTCAGATGATCCCAGCTCTGGCCACATCAGACTGCAACTGCATGAAAGACCACGAGCAAGAACCACATAGCTAAGATAGAAATAAAATGATTCTGCTGTTTTAAACCATTAAGTTCTGGGGTGATGTGTGATACAACAATAAGTACCTGAAATAATGAGTAAAACAGAATCTATGTACCCTTGATAAGCACAGCAAAGTGTTCCTTCTGTCCTCTGTGCTCAGGCCCCACGTTCAAAATCTGAGGGCCTGCTTCCATTCATATTACCTTCCTTATCAGTAACTATTATTGAAAAATAAAAAAACACTTAATGGCTTAAATCAATAGCAATCATTTATTTCCTCTCAGTTTCAACAGGTCAGAAATTTGGACAGTGAGGTGCAGAGGGGATGACATGTCTCTGCTCCATGATGTCTGGGACCTCAGCTAGAAGACTCAAAAGCTGAGGGGTAGATTCCCCCTCAAAGGCATATTCTGTCACACATCTGCAGGTTGATGTTAGCATGGTTAGCTGGAGTGCTAGCTGCAACACCTCCATGTAGTCTCTTCACTTGGCCTGGGTTTCCTCTGAACTTGATGGCTGGGTTCCAAAGATGAGTGTCCCAAGAAAGAGAGAAAACCAGGTGAAACTGTATCCTTTTCATGATCTAGCCTTGGATCACTTCTGCCTTTTACTTGTAGGTCAGAGGAATCATGAGTCCCTAACCACACTCAAAGGGAGAAAACCACGGATCCCACCACTTGTGAGTGGAGAACAATGTCCAATTCTAACAACAAGAGGAATGGGATATTTATGGGATGACCAATTTGGGAAAATACAATGTGCCACATCTTCCTTTTCTAAAATGGAATAGTCCTTAACCCTGAACTGAGTTTCTATGTTCTGTTATTAATGACATTTGCCTGCAAGGAACAGATTCAAAACTAGTTCTGATTTGCTAGTTTTCACACTCTTTCAGGTAAGTGACACAGCTGCTCCACACCACCAAGTACAAAGACATCTGCATTGTGGTAGGAGATGAAGAGTATTTTTAATGTGTAAAACCCTCAGCCAAATCCCAGGAGGCTCTGAGCGGGTCCTACCAAGCCCTGTAGGTCTCAATTTCTTCTCTGAAGGACTGTCTAGAAGCTGTGAGATCCTTTCTAACACGGATTCCATGGTATTCTGCAGCCAGTGCCTCCTCATACCCCTTCCTGGCCATGGTAAAAATACTTTTTAAACAACAAGATACCAGATTGTCAACTTCCTTTCATAAGCAAGGAATTTTGAAAAAAATTCCTAATAAATTTTTTATTTATGATAGTCACACAGAGACAGAGAGAGAGAGAGAGAGGCAGAGACACAGGAGGAGGGAGAAGCAGGCTCCATGCACCGGGAGCCTGACGTGGAATTCAATCCCGGGTCTCCAGGATCGCGCCCTGGGCCAAAGGCAGGTGCTAAACCGCTGCACCACCCAGGGATCCCCATAAGCAATAATGAAGAAGTCATACTTAGCTTCAAAAAAGTATGGAAGTAATATTTTTTTTTATTTTTATTTTTGGAGTTAAGTAATATTGACAGGTTTTCCTTTCTACCTTGTCTTGCTAAGTACGTTAAAAAGCACTGCCTAAAAAATTCAAAGTATGAAATACACTACAGTTAATGGAGACCTAACTGATTTACTTTCTTGTTCATTATTAGACTTCTGCTAGACTCCCACATCATGTATCAGGCTCCATACTTTCACAAGGATGCAAGAAATGAAAAGAAGTCGAGAAGATACACTAAATAATTCAAGAGCTTAGAGAATAAGACCTATGAGGAAGGGATGCAGGTTATTCATCCTGAAAAAGGAAAGACTAAAAGGAAGTATGATGTTAGTGCACCAAAAAAGCATGAAGGCCTGAGAAACCAGGTAACTTTGGGCAAGTTGCTGGACCCACTTGTATCTTAGTTCCCTTATTTGAACAGGGAAAGAGTTGATTTGGATCTTCCTCAGGTTCCCTGGTTTCTGATGATGAAAAGGATAGCGACAACTTTCCCAAAGTCCCAAACAGGAAGTGAGTTTAAGGTGTCACATATGCCACTGAGGCTAAACATAACTTCAATGCTTCCTAACTCTACGAAAAGGACACGGAAGCAGGAATCCTGATCTCATGGGTCTCCAGTAACGGGGTCAGACAGGGGTGACTCACCATGGGAGGCAGACTGAAGGTATGTAAGCATCTAAAAGACTCCATGGTCTGAAAACTGCTACAAACGACAGAGAATAAAGCTGGATCTCTCAGCCAGTGATGATCTAAAGCAAAGAGTAATTAAACAGGCCATAGGGGCAAGGGTTAACCAAGCGCAGTGCTTTGGCGCCTGCCTTTGGCCCAGGGCACGATCCTGGAGACCCGGGATCGAATCCCACATCGGGCTCCCGGAGCATGGAGCCTGCTTCTCCCTCTGCCTGTGTCTCTGTCTCTCTCTCTCTCTGTGACTATCATAAGTAAATAAAAATTAAAAAAAAAAAAAAAAAGGTGGAAGCCTCACCCGGGAGCTGCTAAGTACAAACGCCGATCAGCTGGCCACACAGCCTTTCTGCTCCGATTTGTAAGATGGGAGCCCTGTACATCTGAG